GCTTGGTGCCTGTTATCCCTTCTTTTCCTCTAGTTTCTCCCATTTGTAATGGAAATGTCTAGCTTGTACCTGTTCTGCCATTGTACTTTGGAAGCAGATAACCTGTATTCCTGATTTCACAGATGAAGAAGAATTTCTGGATTTTGGACTTGCAGCTGAGACTTTTGCTGTGATATGATGAGATGATTATGCTTTACATGTTGCAAGGACATGAATTTTGGGGGGCCAAAGGGTGGAGTATCATGGATTGAACTGTGTCCCCCAAAATATCTGTCAACTTGGCTGGGTCATGATTCTCAGTATTGTATAATTGTGACCATTTTGTAATCTGATGTGATTTCCTTATGTGTTGTAAATTCAATCACTATGATCTAATAAGATGGATTAGTGGCAGTTATACTGATGAGGTATACAAGATTGGATAGTGTCTTAAGCCAATCTCTTCTGAGATATAAAAGAAAGACATGAACAGAGACACACGTGTACCTCATAACACCAAGAAAGCAGAGCCGGGAGCAGAGCGCATCCTTTGGACCTGAGGTTCCTGGGCTGAGATGCTCCCAGACCAAGGCAACTTGTCTTCCTTGATAAAGAGAACATATACTATCTTGAAAAGGCATGGCACCTTGGATATAAACCAAGTTACATATCGACTTATAAAGTGGGGTGCTTCCTCACTGACTCAGACAGACTCTGGGCCACTCGGAAAAGGCAAATCACAAATGCGCAACACCCCAGGATCTGATGATATGGGCAAAAAGGAAAAAAAAAAAAACTTGCCATGCTCTGAAGTGGCAGCAGATGAGAACCATCTTTAGAAGGGTTGAAATGAGTCACATGCAGAAGTAACACAGCTCACCAGATGGCCTGCTGGTATGCTGCATGGTAAGAGGACAGTACTTCTCGAATCTCACCAAGACATACAGGTCTCTCTCATTTCTGAATTAAGGGTGGAAGGCCATAACCAAAATACACCAGCTGTCATGGAGCTTACGTTCTAGTGGTGGGGAAAACAGCAAATAAAAATAAGGGAAGTATAAAAAGTGGTAGGAAGCAGGGCAAGGGGACAGAAAAGGACAGTAGTACCCTCTTAGAGGCTGACTGAGGAAGACTTCCCCAAGGAGGTGACATCTGGGCAGAGACCCAAATGAAGTGAGGGAGCGAGCCTTCCAGGCAAAGGGAAGAAAAGACGCAAAAGCGCCCAAATGAGAACCTGCTTGGCAAACTCACGGAACAGCAGCACGGCCAATGTGACAAGAGTGATGTGAGCAAGACGCAGGCTGGCAGGCAGTGAGGTAGAAGAGGGGCCAGAGCCACAACAGGTAAGGCCTGATAAGCCCGGCTGTGAATTTTCATTCCAAGTATAGTAACTCCATCGCAGGCATGGGAGGGATGTGATGTGATTTACATTTATTCTGCCTCTGGTAATTCCAAGAAGTTCTCTTCCTCCAGAGAATTTATTGATTATTTTGGGAGCTTGCTGAAGCCATCATGGACTGCCTCTTTATGTGACTTGATATTGACTGTTGTCTCCGAGCCATCAATAATTTATTATAATTTTATTTTGTATTTGCTTAGTGAGACCTAGCTTCTTGTTTTG